GATCGCTTCTCGGGCTCCAGCTCCGGGGCCGACCGCTACTTAACCATCTCCAACCTCCAGTCTGAGGACGAGGGAGACTATTACTGTGGAGTGGGCTATATCATTGGTGGCCAATACGGGTTCCACAGTGACACAGACAAAGGGGAAGTGGGGCTGAAACCTCCCTCCCTTGTTTGCTCCTCCCAGAGACTCGGGGGACCTGCTCCCTGTCCCTCTTCTGGGAGCTGAGATGCTGACTCTTTCCTCTCAAAACCCATCACCCTCCCCACTCCTGCTCCCCAAGGCCCTACAGGGAGAAGCACACGGGAGACATGACTGGGGTCCTTGTGCCGAAACTTACATCCTAATCCCCCCTCACCTGTGGGCAGGAGCTGAGACAGACCACACCAGGCCCCGCAGACCGTACCCCTGAGGGCGGGCGGGGCTGACCACGTTCCCAGGAGCCATTGGGCCTGGGCTTCTGTCCAGGGCTCTGCTCAAAGAAGGAACAGAGGCCTTGGGCTTCAGGAGTGACCTTGGACATCATCTGTTGCCTCCATTGTTTTATGGAGGGAAGCAGGGCCCTGGAAGGACAGGGGCTGAGCAGGAAGTGTCTGGTCCTCAGGGAGGCAGGACAGAGCCCTGACCCCATGGGGGGCACATCGCGGGGCCCAGGAGGGAGGCGGGGCCTGTGAGGAGGTCTGAGCAGGACCAGCCTGGAGCAGGGCCTGGCTGCTCCCGCTGCTCCAGAACCTCCCCTTGTGGGGCCCAGACAGGCTCCCAATCTGCCCAGGACTTTGAGAGACAGGGCGGGACCCCGGCCTCTGAGGAGGGACAGGGAGCAGGAGGAGCAGGAGGAGCAGTAGGAGCAGGAGGGGATGGATCAGGGCTGACCCTGCAGTGACCTCTGTCAGCCCAGCGGCTGGAGCCACAGGGTCCGAGGGCCACCCCCACCCTCTCCCTGTGAAGGGCTGTTCTCTAAAGGGCTTCAGTGACTTTGTCCCAAATGAGGCCCTGCAGGTCCCTCTCCAGGACGGGTCCCCACCCCTCACCCTGCAGGGAGGGGGCCAGGAGGACAGTCCGGCTGCTGGGGCCTCTAGTGAATAAATAATAACACAAGAATAAACTCCATGTTCCACACACTCACAGCTGTAACCTGCTTTCTCCCGTCCCATGTATTTTGTGATTCAGGACAGAGGGAGCCAGTGACAGAGCCGAGGGATGAAGCCCGCCTTGGGGTGTCCCTACCTTCCTATTGGGGAGGTCACAGTGTGGACGGCAGGGGAATCCTAGGGCGTCCACCCATGTCCGCGTGGGACACAGGCGAGGACAACATCCAGGCCGGCTGGGATGAGGGGATCCAGTTACTGCTTTTCTAGGAGAGGAAGGGGGACAGAGATAGAAACATCAATGATGAGAGAGAAACATTGATTGGCTGCCTCTTGTGTCCCAAAAGAGCTGCGCTCAATAGATCAAGGTCACCTGAGAGGCACATGAGCAATTTCTCTGCCTCTGGCCATGGGATCCTGGCCTCTCCCACCCCAGCATGACCATTGTCCCCACAGGCTCCTCCCAGACCCCTAGCCCCACCCTGAGGGTGAGTCCTCACCAGAGAGCAGGCCTGAGGGTTGTCCACAGGCCCAGAGAGGAGGCCAGGCTGCTGGGTCAGGGGTCAGAACTATCTTTTTAAAAAATATGTCTTTATTGATTTCAGAGAAAGTAGGAAGAGGGAGAGAGAAATAGAAACATCAATGATGAGAAATCACTGATTGACAACCTTCTGCAACCCTCCTACTGGGGATCAAGCCCCCAATCAGGTCATGGGCCCTGACCTGGAATAGAACCAGGACCTCCTGGTTCATGGGTCGATGCTCAAACATTGGGCAACACCAGCCAGACAGACCTTTCTACCTGGACAGCACAGGGCCTTGGGAACCTGGCTCAGGCCTGTGCATGGAGCCCTGGCACAGCCTCCTCCACTGAGCCCTGTGCTGCTCAGCAGGGAGACACCCCTGAGGCCCAGGAGGAAGGAAGTGGATTTGCATGAGGCCCCGCCCACCCAGGGGTGAGGAGCCTTGAAGACCACACCCCAGCTGAGGGCTCAGAGCAGAGCCTGGCAGCCTCACCATGGCCTGGACCCTCCTGCTCCCCCTCCTCACACTCTGCACAGGTGCTGCCCCCAGGCTCAGGCCCAGCAACCAGGGAGCAGCCTGGCCATGACCTTCAGCTCAGCCCAGGGGACGCTGCGGGGTGTGGGCCTCTGGGACTGAGAGCCTCATGCCCACACTCACCTCTCCTCTCCTCTCCTCTCCTCTCCTCTC